TTATTATATGGGCGTTGTCGGTCGTTATGACGCAGTTATATCAAAGACAAATATAACTTCTTTTGACAGTTACGGTATACATATAGTGCTGAAATAATTCTAATAAGTTCATCTTTTTCTTTATAGATGTATCCGTTTTGAATTTATATATTTCAAAGTATATCCAATTATCATTAAGCAAACGTTATCAACAAAGAGTTGATCCTGATGCATAGCTTATTTATTATAGTATTCTTACAAATCCAATGCAATTTTTAGCTCTTTCTTTTACTGAAGATTTATTGAAGAGTTTCATAAGATAATTAAAATAGTATCTAAATTACAGTATAAAATATCATCTATCATTTTTTATTTTTTAAAATAAATTTCTATTGTTGACACTTGATATTTTTTAAATGTATGTGTTAAACTTGAATTACATGAATCTATTCTGATATAGGATACGCATGTCAAGTCATTTGAACAAATGGAAAACAGTGAAACATACGATGTTCTAACTGATCTATCAGTAAAGAAAAGTCTTTTATTCAGATCAGACTACTATATTTGCTATACTACAGATCGTGCGTTAGTTTAGAAACCATTAAAATGGTGGAATGATCAATCTAACTTATTATCATGAAGTATATGTAAGTAATAATGAAGGATCCAAATTCATTTTCACATGAATTATATCGTTCAACAAAAGAATGTCCCACTGCAATGGATATCAAATGTATATGAGGTACTGACTTCGAATTTTTATTTGCTTGATTAAAACGTCTATTTCTAATTCATAGCTTTTTGCTACAATGAAATAGTTAGGCTAAATTACTATACTTGACTTACATAGATTAAGTAGCTAGTTCTCTTTGTTCTGAGACTGAACACATAAATATTAGATGCCTCTCATAGAAGAAACGTCAACAAGCACGACCATAATCTATTCTTTTTTTCAATAATGAAATGAATCTACTCCGGATAGTAACTAGAAGAGACATATTTTGATTAACAAAATCCGTCCTCAAAGGATTAATACCGTCTTACCACTAAAAGAAACAGATGCCTAGTTATAAATGAAAGTAATAATAAACAAAAAAAATCTGTGAAAATTTTCTTCACTACTTCCAGTAACTAATGCATTATCAAGGCTCATATTCATTTCTGTCATTTAACAGTCTGATAGTACTGTGCATGACACTTTCATGCAAAATGATTTTTTTCTATCTCATCAATTTTAGATTAATAATTCGTGAATAACAAGTTAAATCAGAGAAACAAAAAGTCGAAACTACTCATAAGTAAAGACGAGAGCGTATAAATTATATTTTATTTAATATGTGAAAAGCAATATACTATAGTTGAGGAGTAAGGAAACAAACTTTTTAAAAGTAAATTTTGCCGTAAGTAACTTCATACAGGTATCAGGCAGAGCAAATTTTACGATTTTGACCATAATGTAATTCGATTATCTATTATTTGGTAAGCACCATGAAATTGATTCATTAAGGTAAGACTAAGGAAACTAATGATGTTAATATATATCAAAATTATATGGAAAACAAAACTTCTATTTTACGTCATGTTTGTATTATATGCGCCTCTTCATGCGTCATTTAACCGATATCTTAATATGTTCTATTAAAATAGGAGTTGAATTACTTGATTTGTTGGAGCCATGCAATTCATTGCCTCAAGTATATCGACGCGTATAGTTAACTACTTTTTGTAATTTAGTCTCAATCAATGTATAATTTGATGATTTGCTTAAAAATATTATAAAATTTGTACTCTTCTCTTTCACGAACTGATCATCTTCCGACCTTAATGATGACATAAGTGTGAATCTACCAGAACAAAATATTTCTTTTTCTCTATAAAAGACAAAGAAATATACATTCATCTAAGCATATGTAAAAACATCTGATTTGTTTAGATAAACAAAATTTTTACATTTCTTATTTCGTTAAAGAGTGTACAGGAAAAGTAACGGCTTTGATCGTATAAGAAATGTAAGTCACGAGATATATATATAGCAATGAGAAAACAACTATTATTTAATAACATAATTTTCAGCGCAAATACTAACAGTGTATCTATCATCACAATGTGAACTTTCACTTCTCTTCAAAAATGTTATTTGACTTTAGTCACATTTAGTAATAATCTTACAATCTCTTCAAATCTTTTAGGCACTATTGGAGTATTCTCTTTCTCGTAGAGAAGAGTCCAGCTAGAATAAATTGTTTGCTTGCTTGCTTGTATGTCCGCACTTCAGTGATTGGTCCAAGAATAAGGTGAAAAGAGAACTGTTTATTTTCCATAAAACTTGATCAAAGGGTAATCGAGGTCGGGGCACTCGAATCTGAGGTCATTTTTTTGAAATTTTTTTGTCGATCACTTTTTTACACAAAGGACCATTTTTTTTTTACGAAAAAAAATTTTTTCCTATAAAGTTTGATCAAAGCTAACCGAGGGTGAGGGACTTGAACCTGGCTTTGGTTTTTTTGATTGTATAAATGAATAGCTTGGTGATAGTTTAGAAACACGATTTCTACGAGAAAGAGCTGTGCGAGTCTTCGGACGAGCGCTACTTGTCCTTACATTGGTGCGACAGATTGAGTTACACATTGTAATATGGTACTTTGACATATGTCATCTCAACGCATTTTATCTGTTATGAACTCATCATCAATACGACTTCAGCAACTATCTTTTACACAATACTGAAATAGTCATTTCCAATGACAGAGAAGTTGTAGCGTAGTAGTTAATAACTAACTTGAATTCTATTAAATTAATGAAAAGATTTGTTTTCGTCTAAGAAAATGCTTCAATATGTTAAGTATATTTACTTATCCATTTTGTATACTTATTTAAAATCTGCTTTATCAAATTTGCATCTTATCTTTTTTTGTTCCTCAAACTAATTAATCTGATAGTATGGAAATAGATCAAATAATATAAACTTATTCAAATTAATAATTGAAAATAAAACAAAATAGTTAAATCGTTTGACACATAAATGTTACAAATAGAAGCATCTTTGTGTGAAATTTTCGCATAATGCATTTCTTAATAAAAAACCCAGGTGCTAAAACGTAGAATTACTTATATATTTATTTGATCTCGCATTCCATGCATTTCTAGAATAATAAATTTCATTTCAATCGATGGAAACAACTGAGAGTCGTCTTGTAAAGTTTGGTATTCTAATATCACTTCAACCTCCTTCAATCATTTGTTATTTGGCTTCAATTCATTATATTGTATCCAATCGACGTGCAAGAGAAGCACTTCATAATCATGGTCCATTGGTCTTACTTTTCGTTGGTTTATTTACTGTCATCTTCGATCTTTCTATGATTCTCGATTTCTTACGTACTGGTGTTGTTACTCCAAGTACTTATTCCTACTGTCGTATGTGGGCTTTCTTCGATATGCTTCTTTATGCACTTGTTTGCATATTGATGCTATGGATATCAATCGAACGGCATATACTTATTTTTCATCAACGACAATGGCTTGATACAGAAAGAAAGCGTTACTTCGTACACTATCTTCCACTTATTCTTATTTTCGGGTATCTCACGGCGTTCTATATATATGGCGGTTTTATTTATCCATGTGAAAATAACTTTGACTATCATGTAGTACTTTGTGGTAGTTTATGTTTTGCTTTTGCCGATCCTGTACTTGGTCTCTACGATCAATTTGCCAATTCACTAATTCCAATCTTGCTCATAGTTATTGTGAATCTAGGATTATGGATTCGTATTGTCTGGCAAAAATATTACCGAGTTAGACAAGCCATGGAATGGCGACAACATCGCAAAATGATTGTACAATTTGTTCCAGTAGCAGTTCTATACATGTCTAGATATCTAACGTATGGATTTCTTCAATGTTATCATATGATTCATGGTCCAACAGATCTTAGTACCTTTATTCAACAAGTATACTTTTTCCATCTATTTTATCTCGTCGGTTTATTACATCCATTTGTTTGTCTGATTGGTATGCCTGAAGTCTATCGAAAATGGCTCCCTAAACGAAATCGACATATTACTCCTACAGCTTTGAATCTAAATAATAGAATGACTAAATTAATGATAACTCGTTTCTAATTTTGACTGATGGTTGACTATGGGACTATAGAATATATTCATGGCAAACAATTGACAATAAACAGAAATTGCTAATTGTTGTAATTCATCTGATTTCTTTAAAAGAAAAGTAGTGTTTCACTCTTTTCAACATTGATTCATTACAATCAAAAGCATCATTATAGCATGTCCAATTCAAAAACGAAATAAAACAGTACAAATATAACGTATTGGGATATATTTGTGGATGTTTAGTCTACCTAATGAGACCTTGAGTAGTAAGGGTGTGGGTGTGTGGGTGTATGTGGGTGTGGGTGTGGATGTAGGTGTGGGTGTGGATGTGGACTACAAAAAATAGGAACACACACCTACACTCACACCCAAGTAATCACATCACTTTTCCACAGAAACACATGAATGTCTCAACAAGTACGAAAGACTTGCTAAGAAAAATCACAAAATCAGAGCAGAAATCGAATCTGCATCTTCCGAGAAATGATGGGCTATTCTATTCATTAAACTACTCCATCTCGCTCTAACGTTAGAAGTACTTTGCTGTGAGAGTACTTCATCATCTTTTGAAGTGGTATAACTATTTCGTATTAAAGTTTCATAAAAGAACGACTATTCTCCATCTTCATAAGTGCTCAGTGCGATGTGGTGAATTTATTGGATTATTTATGTTTGTGATGGAAGTTATCTTATGTAGACTTCCATGAATTTCGAAGAATCAGTGTGAACCTAGCCATTATGTTCATTCTTGTTTCTTTCTTCTGGGATCTCTGTTGCCAGTGTGTGATTTTGTACGCATATTCAAAGGAGTCTGAATGAATGACACCTTTTGATGTATTCTTTAGATCCTCAATTACTATTTCGTTGTATGGATACGAATACGATATTCATTGGAACGTCTATGATAAAAAAGGGGCGGAAATTCATCGAAGCTAACATCATTCGAACCATATAAGATTCAAATGACAAGTTCAACGTTTTATTTGTTTATTATGAATGTATATAACTCTTTCGAGATGAAAAACTGGTCATCATCTTTTTCAATTTACTCAAATTGTATTGGACTACTTCTTCTACTTTGTTTTCAATATCCAATGGCAAAGGTACAATTGATTTCCTTTTTTTTAATTTTCTCTTATTCTTTGTCGTTTCTCATCGACGTTTCATAGTCCGTCATTTTCAGTAATTGTTTTTCATGAGTACAATGTTCTTTTGACCTGACTCGGACTACCTAGTACCATGACAAAGGTAGATGATCGGATAAAAAAAAATGAAATTGATAGTGAAAATTTTCACTCACAAAGAAGCCGATATCGAGCTGACTATTGACAGTTTTCTTTTATTTTTGATTGAAAGAAAATCAATTTTGGATGTGGGTGTAGATGTGGATACACATACGAACAACACATTCACTCCACATCCTTCGGATTCCTAGTTTCTGATAAATTGGGAAAGATTTTTGTGTCTTATTCTCTCGATTGGGATGATCATACTATAATTATATTTTCCACTCTACTTTATTGTGGAATTATTTACAATAACTACAACAATAAAATATCAGAAAATTAAAATACAAAAACTTAGTCTGCCTGAGTGTATACATTCAATGTGAATTCTATTGATCGGCAACAATATGTCTTTCTTTTAGTAACAGTTCAGAATCTATGTTCTTCAATTGATAGAATGGTGATTCTATCATTGTTCTTCTTCGATAATGCCTGATCATGGTATACTAATTGATATCAAACACGCACGATCTTATCATTACACCGTTCTACTTCTTAGTGAAGTGTGAAAAATTCAAGTATAAGCACCTTCTTCAGTTGTCTCGTATATATATGGAAACACATTTATATTAAATGAGTAAGTAGTGGATTAGTTGAACTCTAGGTATACCTACATCAACAATCCTATGGCTACCATTTTCCTACAAGAATGATTCATTAGAATGACGAACATTTTAGTTTAATATCTACGTTCTACGTAGTTCCTTTCTTTATTAAATTAACCATGAGAATCGCTATGTAATATTATGTACTGATATGTTATGGAATAATATGCGTTTGATAAGTATTTTTCGACAGATATATATTGTTCTTTATTTTAAAGCAAAACCAATCAGTAATAATCTTGCCTATCCTAAATATATATCTGCATGCAACCGACATCTTCCAAGTAATAACTAATTAAATTAGTGATATAACTAAATCTTTCTTTCTTAGTCCAAAGAAAAATATAAAAGTCTAACAAATATTTGGTTTCAATTCTTTTGCTCTTCATGCAATCAGCATTATCATTGTGATGTAATTTTTATCATATCTAGTTGTGACACTTTATCCTTACTTTGCCCGATAAAGTAAAAGTAATCTACTTTATCCGAAAAGTAAAGTAAAGTGAAGTATCTCTAACTTTATCGAACAAGCAACATACAGTAAATATAGATGAAATAAAGCGTGTAGTTGATGATTATTCATTTATTAATTTATTATCACACATTAATCACATTCTAATACGTCAAAAGCAGCATCAAATTACGGATCGGAGGCCTCGAAAAGTTTAAACTGATTTTATTACTTTAGAAGTCAGCATCAAACTCTGAATATTCTTCATAATTCAGTATTCCACATAATTCCGACTCAAGTTTTGATACTT